TTCCAAAACTAGTGGATTTCTTATAACACTTATCATTCCCCTAAGATTATATTCTAAATTCCATATAACCTCAGTCAGGATGCCTCCATTGATAAGATTGGGAATAGAAAACCTTTCACTGGGTAACAGATATGCTCAGAAAATGAGATGTATCGCTACAGGGTCCCCAAAACCTGAGGTGGTCATCGTGAAGCTAAAGGATGGTGCTAATACCTTTCCTACTGTGAAACAGTGAGAATTATTTAATCAGACATTTAAGTAGGGGCCTTTAACATTTAAATACTTACCTTTTCTGTCACTTGTTAACCTAAAAAGTCCCCACTGATTACTAAACAATAAATTAATTTTCATCCTCTCGTGTTTTTCAAGGAGTCCACTGAACAACACACTCAACCTGCCAGGTCTGCCGAGGAGGGTCTCCATGAGGTGGAGGTCGAGGAGATAGTCATGATAGACGGTGCTGCTGCTGCTGGCAGGTTCGCTTGTCTAGCCAGCAACAAGTACGGAGCTACAAAGGACGTCGCAACCATTCATTATATAGGTAATGCGGCTCTCAGGAAAGGAGCCAAGGCTTTGAAATGATGTGATAGTAAATCTAATGGCTGCAAAAACTTGTAGTTTTATTTTCTCTGATTATAACAAAGAATTCAACCATCCACCCCAGCTTTATTCCAGAAAGACCTCCGACACCCACAGCTGCACAAATGGCCATGAAAGCAGCCAACTTCAAAAAAGACCCCATTGTGCTGAAAGAGTGGCCATTTGGAACGAAAGAAGTTATCATTCCCCCTTGTTCGCATGAAGGAGAGAGCTATGAGAACGGGGACAGGTTTAAAGACGACTGCAACACTTGTATATGTGTTGCAGGACGAGTCAGATGTACCAAGAAAACATGTGGTAAGGTTTGGGAATGAAATTGTGATTTTATGGCAAGCTTCTAATTATGGTAGTGTCTGAAATACAAGTCACATCAGGATTTATAACACAAGATAACCTCTGTTATCCCACCCAGAGAGTGAGGAAGTATACTGCAGGGATGGTGAGGGTAACAAGTACCAGCAGTACCAACAGTGGAGGAACCAGTGTAATACCTGTACCTGTCTCAGTCAGGGTAAACACTTCTGTACCACTAAAACCTGCCTGGAACCCAAGCCAGGTCAGATAATCATAAACAGTCTGTTAAATTCACCATGAACCATCAATGCCTAACAATCAATGACCGTTCCAAAGGTTTAATAAATAAACTTTAGTTAGCTCGAAATCAATCATAAATACATCATATTTCAGATCCAGTACCTGCTGTCCAATGTCGCTGGTTTGGTGGAGTAACCTACAACGTCGGAGAAACCTTCGACCACGGTTGTAAAACGTGCACGTGTCACGAGAGTGGTCGCCCTGTGTGTGATAGCAGCACGTGTGGAAGTGCTACTTCCTGCACGTTTAGGGGGAGAACTCTCCCGCTGGGAATATCTTTCAGGGACGATTGTCAGACTTGCACATGTCAGAATGACGGGGAGATCTCGTGTCAGGTGCCGATCCACGTCCTGCAGTTCGACACGCATTTTATACTCGTTAGAACGTGAATTTTAAGTAATAAAGTGGGGAAAATGAACATATACGAATGGATTCGCACACTAATAATTGCAAAATTCCCAGGGAAGCACATGTTCAGATGCCGAAATTGAGATTCCCCGGTCAAGGCCGGGGTCGGACTGTTCCCACAACGGAGCAAGCTACACACTCTTTCAGAAGTTCAAGGATGATTGTAACATGTGCATGTGCATGCGTGGTGGCACTATAACGTGCACTAACAACAAATGTCTGGTCCCTGGCAGGCCTTGTACTTTCCAGGTATGGATGCCAATTAAACCACGAGTAAATCGCGCGATAGTTGTTAGGTCGAGACGTACCTAAAAATAAGTGTCATTTGACTGCAATGTGAGTCATCAGCGCACCTTGACTAAAGTAATATATGGGAGTGCAAAATCCAGCTGGTAGAAATATACATAGACTATAGATATAAGATATGCTCACATTGCTTCTTCTCCAGTACCGTGAGGTGCCACATGGAACCCAGCTACAAGTAGAGTGTAACGTTTGTCAATGTGTAGATGGTACCATGACTTGCACTGAGAACAATTGTGGTATGGATACCGGAGCCAATGAGGGCTGCAAACTTGAGGGTGAGAAAATTTCAGCTGATGCTATTGATTTTTGTAGAAGTTTAAATAAAAAAATGGAAATTTTTTCGCAACGATCTGTTTTTTTTTTAAATTACCAACCTTTAAAAAAATGCTATCAGGTGAGCAAAGAAGGTACGCATTCGGCTCTATGATACAAATTGGAAGGAAGGTGTGCAAATGTGATCTAGATCTTACCACGAGGATTGGGACAAAGATTAGAGAGAGGATCCTGAAATTCATATGCGATGACGCATAAAGAGACATAAAGACACACAAGGCAAATAGGTACAATGCGGACCAGCTATTTACCGGCTGTTAGCGACTGTAACTGTAGCACAGCCGGTCAGTATAACAATTGTACCTATTTGTTGACAGACAATGACCCTTAATGACTCTTATTCATAATGAGTAGAATTAATGTCGCCTGAAGGATCGTTTATGATTCGAATGTATCATCTCGAATGGGAATAAACGATGACAACCTTTAGAATAGATAAACCCCCAAATATATTAACCTTTTTACAATTACCCATTTTAGGTCCTGGACACTGGACAGTTTAATTTATTTGCAATAATGTAATTTTCTATTTTGCTTTTGTGGGACCAACGTTCGCACATGACATAATATTCCTGTTTTGGTATTTCATCTAAAAAGCTTACACACGATCAATTAAAATAATTTACACCCTTTCGAGAGTATTCTACGTTTTTATAACTTTATGATTGATTGTGTTATAAATATAATGCTGGATAAACTGTTTGAAATTATGTTTTATAATTATACTAATATATGGAAACTCGAACTTTTGCATGGCGGAAACAAGTGGCTCCGAAATTATAAATGTCCAATGTAATTAATATCTGTCTGGTAGACGATGAGCATAATGATAGGCTGGTGCGTTGCCAATGTAATCCCAGTCCCCAGACTAGCAGGTGTTGAGGTCAATAACTGCATTAAAATTAAAAACGGCATTAAAATAATACTTCTAATGACTTTTGATACCGTATTATTTGATACAATTATACGTTAACTTTTGAAGAGTTTAGATATACTTTTGAAAATGTATGATTCCTACTTTTTTGTTTGATATCAATTATCAACTATTATTGAAAGTTTTAAAACTTAGTTCTAAGAACTTCAGTTAATTTATTAGCATTATTTAATTGTTGACATTGCTCATCTGTAAAATATACGTTATAATGGGCCAGCTTCGGGAATATTGCTGCTTATCATAATGTTTCACAATCCCCTTAAAACTTCAAAAGAAAGTTGAAGCTCAGATAAACTGTAATGAAACGTGTTTTGTTAAAGAATTAATTAATAAACGAAATAGTTTATTTTCTAAGAGAATGCAGCTTGATGCTCCGGTCCTCTCCCGATAGCACTTCCACCATTTAAATATGGAAGAGCATTCCGTGATCCTAGCTATACTTCCTCGACTGAAAACATGGTGTGGAAGTGATTTAAACGTTAAACTTAAAGACTCGGTTATAACCGCTAGACAATTAGTGGGACGGTTACATGATTGTTGGATTTCAGATTGCTCGCATTGTTCACTCACAGTAGTATTAAGTCCTGAAATGATAGCAGCATGTTATATCTCCACTCTTGTGTGATCCGGGATTTATGTCATTTTGTCATAATTTACAAAATATATCCTTAACACTTAACAGCTGCATTTGAAATTCCATATTAATTTTGTTGATACCAAAATTAAAATATTGTATAAGAAGGTATCTATCAAATCATCTTTTTACCATAAGCCCTTTCCGAAAGGTACACGAACAATCGACGCAGCTGAGAACATATCTATAGCAATTCCATGATTCTGTTGTAGTTATACAATTCCATGATCACTGCCATTGGGAACTTTATATCACCTGATATCAGATATGATCATAGCTATATCGGGAATTGATATTGGTTATCGATTATTGAACCAATATTAATTGTATTATTAATTAAAGAACTGCTGGCAACCGGTTAACATAAACATTGGGCCATGTTTTACAGTTCAATGATCTTTCTTGGCCGTCCTTACTCCTCATAAACAATATACATAGAGGATGTGACTCTAACACTGTGCACTGAGTGATTGTTTGGCAGTGTAGTTCCACGGAACTATCTAGTTAATTTGGTTAATTGGTGTCGTCCTAATACGCTAATGTGTGTGTTCTCCTCACATAATTAGTAATTAGGATCTGAGGTTGACAGTAATTGTAAATTGACTACCACTTGACAAGCTGTTGGCCACGTACAGTTAATATTATTATTGATGTATTCCTCTACTAGTTTGCTATCGACATCGTATCAGTTTTCGTGGCAGCTGATTTTCACCGTAATTCTTCTCCGGTCTCTCTCCTTTCCCGCTACCAGATGCTATGGCATCGTAAAACTAAGGATTTGCTGATACCGCCCTCAGAGTTAGATATTAGTCCATAGATCGCGATCCAGTATCAGGAAACCGGCGGCACCGTGGCTCATACCGACATACCAATACGGTATCAGTTTTCGTGGCGGCTGATTTTCACCAAAATCCTTCGGCCTCCCATTTTTCCCGCTCCCAGATACTATAACATGGTACAACTAAAGATTTGCTAATACTATAAGATATAGACACCGTTAGATATTGGCGACGGAGGAGAGTGGTTAGGGCCGGGGCTCAGTGACATAATCAACCCGCAAGTGACATCTGTCTGGCGTCTGGAATTATAAAATTGTTCGTAACTGTAATTGTATTGAAGCTAATACATGCGGTGCCATACCTTTTGTAACCCTTTATTTATGATTATAACACCACCTCCTTGTGTAATGTGACGGGGGCATAATTTTATTACTATATGTGAATTATGAGTATGTGGTTATAGGCTCCTATTGTTGCTGGTGTGTATTGGCCGCTTAACAAGATGATTAATAGGGCAGTGTTTTTTAGTATGGTAACAGTTTTACTTTTGATAGCTTTGAGTTAGACAAGCTGGGTGTTAAAATTATTAATAAAATGTCAGCTTTCTGTGCTGCTGCGATTTTTATGTTTTCCACCCAACAACAAACTAATTTGTTATCAATTTTATATGAACATGATTGAAACCTTTAAATCCAATTGTTCAGACATGACCGATGTAAACGAACAGCTAACAATCACCACCGGCCCTCTCACCAGCTACCCTACTACAGTAATAATCCTACTAGCTGTCTACAACATTGTGGGAGTGTTATTCGCATTCCTGGGTAACGGCCTCGTTCTAGTCAGTTCCATCAAGTACCGAGCCATAGACATGGACAAAACCTCAATAATACTCCTCCAGAACCTAGTGGTAGCTGATTTCCTGATAGCCCTCCTGAGCTGGTTACCCACTACCATCTCCACCGTGGTGGGAGGTTGGGTGCTGGGGGAGGCGGTGTGTTTCCTTGCAGGGCTGGTGGTGTACGTTCCCGCTCTAGTGGAGCTGCTCATCCTAACTGTTATATCCTGCCACAAAGTCTACACTCTGGTCTACCCACTCCACCACAGACAGAGACCAGTCCCCAGGTCCACTGTGGTGGCTCTGGTGGCTGTTATCTGGTTTATAGCCGTCTGTTTTGTGTTGGTGTGTATCCTGTTGTTAGGCCAGTATGCTGTGTACCATCCGGATACCTTCTCCTGTAAGTGTAGTCACAAGGAAAGTGATCATAGGGAAGCTAACGCTATCACTATGGCGTTTTTGGTGGTAGCCCTGCCTGCCCTGGTCACTATCATCATTGCGAACCTGGCGTTATTGTCAATAGTCTCGCGTCATAACAGTAAGAAGTATCGAGAAGTATCAAGATCACGAGGGGCTGTGGACAGAGAAGAGGTAACTGTTCCTCCGAATAATGATTTTATTGCTTCATTAAGCTCGCCTCTAAGTTCTAAACGTTCTACAGAAGTTTCTTCAAAGTCACAAACCAATTCAAGAGATAATTCTGGGAATGATGAACAAATTTTCTCGCGAGAAAACTCTGGGAAGTCTAAAATTTCAGTGCAGAGTCCCGTCGCAGAAAAGTGTACGCCCAGTTCAATATCAAGGGAAAACTCTCGTAAAAGGATGATGAGACAAAACTCAGGAAATACCTTTGCTTCAAGGCAACAAAACCAGTCAGAAATTATGGACAGCCCGACAGAATTAAAATCTAGAGGAGGATCTATAGCAGCTTTAACACCAAAGGGTAGAATGAAATTCAGATCTCCAAAGGCTATAAAGGTCACCATATCCCGCGAGAACCTCCTGGCTTCCCAAGAGTTATCCCACCAGAAGTCAAGAGATCACTTAATAGTGCAAGATGACGAGAAGGCAGGGCCATCCAGAGTTGACTCCACTAACAGACTTTCCCCCCACCTCAACGTATTCTTTCCCAACCCTGGAAGTTCTCTAGGACCAGCAACGAGGGACCTATCCCGCTCCAGAGAAGTCATCAACAAAATCACCAAATCTTTATCCGCCACCAACTTCAACGTGACAAGGAAGGCAGTATTGATGGTATCTGGGGTATCCTGGCTCTTCATCCTCTCCATCATGCCACTCATTGTGCAGAACCTCATATCCACTTTCTACCAAACCCAACTACCCCGCTGGTTTTCCTTGTTCCAGTCAGAGATCTACTACCTGAATGTAGCCTGTAACCCTGTTATCTACACCCTACATAGTACCAGGTTCAGATCCTTTATTAGACGTGCTATACGGTTCAGTGTGAGGAGTCTGAGGGTGAGTGAGAGCGGTGGAACAGTTGGGAGTACTGAGCAAACTGGGACAGACTTATAATCAGGTGGGAGCACTGAGCAAACTGGGACAGACTTATAATCAGGTGGCAAACTGGGACAGACTTATAATCAGGTGGGAGCACTGAGCAAACTGGGGCAGACTTATAATCAGGTGGGAGCACTGAGCAAACTGGGAGATAGTTGTGATCAGTTGGGAGCACTGAGCAAACTGGAACTAACTTGTAACCTTGTGAGAGCACTGAGCAAACTGGGACCATGCTGAAAAATCAGGGTATAACGCATGCTGATATAACGGATCTGCACATAATATACTTACTTACTTGATACTTACTATATATAGGTTACTATAATATAGGTGAGATGAATTGAGTGGTGACTGATGAAACTTTCAGAATACGCACCAGTTTGCTTCTGCAAAACGGAGCAGTCGATACCATTCATTTATAGTTCATATTATATATCTTTGTATAACAACTACATCGTTTCATTGATATTCCTTCACATATTCGTTTTCAAATTGACTCCTCACAGTTGTCTATCAAGTACTTTCAATATCCAGATCGCTTATATATTATACTCATCCATACAATAAGCTGGATTGTTAGATCTGTAAGAGAAAGGCCACTCAACAAATTAAAAGCATCATAAGTATGCTGCAGCTAAGTATGTTAAGTATGCTAACAATTTCATTTTCTCCCAACACTCCGGTGGTGATGTGATTAATTACAACTTCAGGCTATTCACAAGCATGATATTGACTTGATAAGAGATATGTGCACACAGCTGTTTTCTATCTGTTCAATCGAATTCGAACGCTTTGACGCTTATGACAGCTCCGTCGTATCGGCTTACCGATAAGAAATTCTGATAAACACTTGCTTATAATATTCTTGTGTGAATATTTCTTGTTTGTAGATATATATTTAGTATTTTATGGATGTTAACCGACTGCAAGATATGGTCATTTCTGAGAAAGGAAAGCAAAAGAAGCCCAAGTCATTCATATGGAGGGATCAAAATGGTATGTAAAAGATTCTGATCCATTTTGTTAATCAAGTCTTTTACAACAGCAATCATTTTGTTTTTCTGGACAGCATCATGGGTCTTTATCGACCGTATTCACTCAATACTTCTCCCAGGTCCAGATGAATCAGAAGATGTAACAAAGGAACGCAACACTAAAATCCTGCTCCCAAGAAGACAAAAAGGAAAGACACTTGTGAAAGAATGCAGCAGCTTAACAAGAACTAAAAGCTTAACCAGAGCTGAAACCAGCTGTCCTGCCAAGACAAGTGAAAGAAATACTCGGCCAAGATGCCAGGAGAACATCTCTGATGTACTGCGAGTAAAGCGTATAATCGGAAGGATGCACTACACAAAGCTGATCAAGATTAGCAAGATTCAGAGTTTGGAGAACACAGCTCGTAATGCGGAGAAAAAACTTAAAACCGCAGAGAAAATGCTTCAGAGGGATGAAAAGACTTTTGATGAGTTCTTGAGAGACTACATGGAGGATTACAAGTGGAGGGAGAAGGAAGATCAGGTGGCTAGGAAGGAGATTCTTGACTATAGAAGAGAGTTGGAGGGTAAAGTCAGAAATATGAAGCTGAAGATAAGTTCGATTGAACAATCAATATTTCAACTAGAAGACACTCTTAGTGATCAAAATAAACTGAAAGCATTACTCACTCGAAAAGTAGGTATTTCAAAAGCTCAGCATGCCAAAGAAGGAAATAAAATGGCAAATAGCCAACAGTATAAAAATACCAAAGATGAAGACACTAAGAAAGAAACAACTACGATTAATCCGATTGATATTTTGGACTTTGTATTAGAGTTTGTAGGCTTTGAGGACAAGAACTTTCACATTATGCAGGAGATACAGAAGAAGGAGATGAAACTGACTCAGCTTCAAAGACGGCTAGTAGAGCGTGACATGATGTTTTGAAGAAGTAAGATTTGTGATTACGATATGATTATGAAGGTGCTTTTGTATTATTTCGTTTCGTCAAAATTAAATTGATTTGATCAATGATGATCGGATCGGGTATGTAGCAACTCACAAAACTACGAAAATTAAAATAGTGATTTTACACCCAAATATGTAAATCTGATGAAATCAAAAATCATGACATCTGATCAGCGAACATGTTATATATTATATACTAATACAAATTACACATGTATTGAGACAGGTATTGGTACCGGTATTTCCTACAAACTACCTAGTACTGAACATAAAAATAAGCTACTAGTACAGTAAGTGCTGAATGTATACGACAAGCGCTTAGGACTTTAGTTATCTTCCAATTGTGCTGTTGCGTTTGATCTATTTATTTGTCTTTTTAGCATTTGATAAAGCAGAAGGATGGTGATTCTTATGTTTATAGCAAGCTTTCTACAAATTCAAGGTGAGGAAGAATTTTGATTACTTGGTTTTTGTGGTTGAACAAATAGAGCATATTCTTAATTTGATAGCAAAAATATAAAAGCATGATAATTATTCCTCAACTTTAATTAACTTTTATCTAATAGCTGAAAAATATCTAATCGGTGAAGCAACTGACTGTTATGGTGCGATGTTAAAGAACGCCTCATCACAAATTGTTAAAGATGACGAGAGCGAACTAAAGGCCACCAATTGGACCACCGGAGAAACCCATCTATTGAGGTATTTCAATTAACAAAGCCAGAAACTTGTATTGAACCATAAAGGACTTAAGAAGGCTACGAAGCAGAATGGCAATATACTCACTTTAAAAACTTGAAGGCGTGAGTTCTTTTTCATGCTGCTTCTATAAGTGCGATATAACCGAGGAAGTTGATATAATAAATATAATTCTGATCATACGAAACTTTACATCATTTTGCTCCAGGGAACCATGATAAGTAGCAGAAAATTAGGTCGAATAGTGTAAAATTAACCACTTTAGAGGTCTTACTATCAGCTTCTTTGCCTGTAGGTGCAAAAACGAAAGTTCAGTTTGGGTGAACGGAATACGGAATATTGATGGGGTTGATGTCGATGCCATTGATCAGTATAGTGGCACAAAACAGAATGGAAATATTCTAGTGGCTTGCAAGGAGGGCACGTTCCAGCCTGATATATTTATTGGGCAAAATATTTGGTGCAAAAGTAGGTTTTACTTTAAATTGAATGTGCAATTGACAATTCCATTTGGTGGTTCATCTGAACTTGATTGTAAGTGTAGCCGCCAGTTCTTTGAAATCCCATATTGAGTCTTATGAAAACGTTGATGAGCACAAAATATACTTTACATTCATTTTTTTCTTTTGACTTTACAGAGGGTTGCCAGCCTATCCCTGATGACGATATTTATTATTGGAACGTGACCTACCCACTGGATTCCCTTACAACTGACCTCTCATCGCCTCCCTTACAAGAGGGAGACAAAGTTGTCAAGTTGGCTTGTAGATCTGGGTGAGTTTGTAACCAGCTTTTATAAATTATAGATATGATTAACGTCCCTCAATGGAGTATATCAGGACCATTTACAAGCTATTATGACAGAGATGCAGGGGGTATGCAGTTATGTGTGAAGGAAAATTATTTCCTAACCGTAATGTTTTAGGTATGCTCCACGCCAAATAACGAGAAATGAGACGAGGACGAAATGTTCTGAAGGGAAGTGGGTAGATATGGACAAGTTTATAGAGTGTGTACCAGGTTGTGAGGATATTACTCGGGAAACTGGAGGGAGAAAAACTTTGATGAGAAAAAGATCTGGGTCCTATGCACCTTTCGTCGCAGGTTAAAATTAAGTTTAAGTTAATGAAAAAGCTACTTTAAACTTATGAAACAAAAGGTTAAAGTTTCCTTCACAATCTCACGGCTTTCGACTAGTTTTAGGATCTCATTGTCGCGTCGGTAGTTTGTAACTAGCTGCATGGAACCTTATAACCGCATTTTCAGGTGACACAGTTACATTTGAATGTGAATCAGGGGAGGTGGTCGGTAACTCCACCGTGACCTGTAACTCCCTCAACACTTGGTATCCGGAACTTCCTGTCTGCTCTTCAGATTCCAAGAGAATATCTGGACTGTTTTCATGTAGATCATTTTGGGACTTTGCTGTTTTGGTTGTTATGATACAATATTATGTTTTGTTGTTGGGAGAGTCAACATGTTTTGACTTATAGCTGCTGGTTTAATGCTAAACACTTGATTAGTCGGATCTCGCCATTGTATTGTGTGATTTTAAACAACTTCTTACTTCACAACATGTTTGTCATACCAGTAAAAACTTCCGAAAATACATAATTTTCAATAAATATCAAATTCTGATAAGTGCCATAAAATTTATAAAATGATATCTCAAAATTATACTATCTCTGATAGTAATTATGATTTATTGACAATATCTTAATATTACATTATAAATCAGCTTGCTTTTGTTCAGCTGATTCATTTGAAAGTTTCTGGATGAGTTCCTTGTCGGTTTCACTCAACATTTCATCTATACTGGGCCTGGCTCTTATTTTGCTTGATGTTGGTTTCATCTCAGATTCTTTGTTGTTAACAACGTCACTGGAACTTTTCTTACCGAGCATATTCGTGTAAGACGAATTAATTACTGCCAAAACTTGAAGGCTTGAGTCTTTTTTCACGATGCTTCTACGATAATCTAAAGATTTCTTCGGAGCAATCAATTGTTGCTCATCTGTAGGAGATGTATTCAGAAGGCTCGCTTCCGAACTTACTGCCCGTGGTACACCAGAATTATCGTCATCTTTATCCTCAGCGTTCTGCTCAGGAAAAACTTTAAGATCATCTTGAGAGAGTCGTTTCTTGGAAGATCGTTTTCGTCTTGCGCGTTTTTTAATCAGCCCGTCCTCGTTGATGTAGTATATGTGACCTTTGCTTTGGATCTTTCGGACATAACCCAGGGATTCATTACTGACGCTGTCAGGATTTTGGGGAAGTGGCTCATCCGAGGGGTGCAGTGTGAATTGATCACCCACTTCTCTGGTATTTTCTTGAAGTTGTCGCTCACAAAACTCTGCGAGCCGTTCAACAGAATTTTCAGTTGAATCTTTCCGCCTAAAGTCTTCGTAGGATTTGTTTGTAGCAGCTGCTCTGGAAGAGTTTGATTTTAGAACCGATCGTTCAGAGTTGGATACCATCTGGTTTACCTTGAACTCACGCTCTTCAGACATAAGAAGTTCTCTAATAGGCTCATAATTATTTGAACTTGATCGTGATTTGGTCGCTGATAATGGCTTTGGCATAGGAAGTCGTTCAGTATTGATCTTCTTCTTACTCTTTGTGGATCGTATTGAAGTCTCTGTAGTTGACGACTTCTTCGATCCATTTTTGTCATGTTTTTCGCTTAAAATCTCATCCGTGCTTTTGAAAGTTCCAACACCACCCTGAGTCGCGTCTTCCGCCTTTTTCAAAACCTTTCGAGAAAGAATACCTCCAGCTCGACTCGCATCACCTGTCATACAGGCTTCAAACAACTCTATCGAGCTTTGTCCTCTGACTTCTTTGCTTGCACTGTTAGCGATAATCGTTAAACATTTTCCTATTACCATGGAAATGATCGCTTCGGTTCCGGCAGTAATATTAATGTAGGAAAGAGTTCTTCGGAGATGATCATTTATAGTGTCGCATATCTTCGTCATCTCCGATCCTGAACCTCCTCGTATTATTTCTAAACAACTTTGGAAAACTAACTTTGACATCAAGGAAGCGAATTTAATTATATTCGTCCCAGTTTCAACTATTGGAAGAGTTTTCGATCTGACAGTGTCAAGGAAACATTTCACAAGAACGCTAGCAGCACCGCTATAGTCAGATTTAAGCAAAGACGGTTTCAAAATTTGACACTTATTCTTGACATCATTCTCGAAAATATTCTCAAACTGCAAAGTGATGTCGTCCAGAATGCATCTGACAAAAGAAAGCCCTCGATCGTACGCGACCTCGTCAATGTTGGTTTTCTTCAATGCCTCTAAATAATAAATTCCATCTTTAAATGTCGGCACTATCTCCTCTCCTAACGTTAAACTGGAGGACGTTTTTACTATTTCCATATCCTCGCACGAGTTGACAGAATGGACTGTTTTTGCCTCCTCCTCTTCCATGCTCAATTCTTCAGTTAGTCTATTTAATTCTTCCATCTCCGCGTCTAGTGATAATTTCAATGTGCTATGAGTGTTTCCTGGATCTTTAACCGTGATATCATTTTGTTTTTCTTCTTCTATTTTGCCGCCTTGTGCTGATCTTAGAGCTCTGTTTGCTAAAACTGGCGCAGCTGTCTCTAAATTGCCTGAGGACAAGGCATCTTTAAGTATGTCGCTGCTAGTCATCGGCATAACGCTTTCTTCTATTTTGCCGCCTTGTGCTGATCTTAGAGCTCTGTTTGCTAAAACTGGCGCAGCTGTCTCTAAATTGCCTGAGGACAAGGCATCTTTAAGTATGTCGCTGCTAGTCATCGGTATAACGCTTTCTTCTATTTTGCCGCCTTGTGCTGATCTTAGAGCTCTGTTTGCTAAAACTGGCGCAGCTGTCTCTAAATTGCCTGAGGACAAGGCATCTTTAAGTATGTCGCTGCTAGTCATCGGTATAACGCTTTCTTCTATTTTGCCGCCTTGTGCTGATCTTAGAGCTCTGTTTGCTAAAACTGGCGCAGCTGTCTCTAAATTGCCTGAGGACAAGGCATCTTTAAGTATGTCGCTGCTAGTAATCGGTATGATACTTTCTTTTATCTCGTCGTCTTGTGCTGACCTTAGAGCTCTGTTGATCAAGACCGGCGCAGCGCTCTCAAAATCACCACTGACTAAAGCATGACTAAGTATCTGGCTGCTATTTGCTGTAATAATAGTGTTAGGTCTGGTAAGGACTTGCTCGACTAACTCTTCATCTATTTCATCGATAAGTTCACCCATACCACTCCTCAGTAGTCTAGATACAATTATATCTCCTGCAACTGGCATATCACCCGTATGTAAAGCTTTTTCCAGGAATATGCTGCTATCCCTTCGAACTTGACAATCTTCCTCGAAGATATGTTGCAATCCTTGCTGTAAAGCTATGTCGGTCATAATAGTCCCAGCCACTTCGAGATCTCCATATTTAAGGGCTTGATCCAAGCTGACTTCTGGTGCGGGAGTGTTTATGTATTTCAGAGCTTCTCGTAATGAAACTTCTATCATGGATTTTCCAGCTGTGTCTAAATCACCTTGCTCTAAGGCAATCTCCAATATCATCGTACTGATTTTTTGTTCGATTGGACAAGACTCGTTTTTATTGATATTCATGGCTTGTTGAATAGCACGATTTGCGAGTAGAGTCCCCGCGGTTAAAATATCACCATTTTTCAGAGCATCCTTCAAATCGGTGATGGTGGGTTTTTGTGGATCTAATTCAATTTCTTTGTGAGCGACCTTGATCGCATTAGCTGCTAAGATTGAACCAGCCAGGTCATAGTTGCCTTCCTGAAGAGCCTCTGCTAGCATATGGCTACTTCTCCTTGGGATACTCTCAGATGCCTCGTAGAGAGTCTTTTTTACAAGCAAAATAGCGAATTTTGCAATGTCACCTTCTGCAGCAACTTCATCAAGCATTCTTTCGTCGATCATCTCAGGTTGATCATCAGACTTTTGGAGCTGCTCCAAGTAATTCTGCTCAGCCAGTCCATTTTCAGGCTCCGCTTCATCTTTACATCCATGCAACACACCATGCATCATACTGGTGGCACCTTGTAAAAATTTCTTACCCTCCTCCATGATCCATTCCACAACCTCTACGTCAGACAGTTGGGTGACAATGCTAGGCCTCTCGTCCAGTAGCTTGTCCATACCCTTTTTCAGGCAATCTTCCATGATATTCCATGTCAAATATGAGTATCCACTCAGCTTTAGCTTGACCTGCGCTATGTCAAGAGCATGATTCAACAAAAACTGAGATCTTTTATGGATATCTTTTAAAGTTTCTCTTGAGGATTGTGCGGAGGATAGTATATATTGACAAGATAATTGCGAAGCTTGGGTTTCTGAGCCCCCGGTGAAGTGCTGAACAGTAGCAACGAGTCTCGTGATGATATCTGTGATAATATCTTCTCCATCCTTTGTTCTGCAGTCCATTGCCGAGGTTTGTCCAGGGTATACATCCTTGTGCTTGCCTTCAAAACATCTCATGATCTTCTTGACGACGTCCTCTATCAAGTCGTCTGCAGTAAGATTACTACTGACTGTGAATACGTCACTCCAACAGACATTCGATTCATTCGTGTCAGTAAAAGTAAAGTAAGATACTGTCTGGATTGGGGTATCGAATTCTGGGGTCTCATAATTGACCACGTCTTCAAGAATATTGTCGATCAAACCGTCCACTACGATCTCACTCTCCATCTCCTCTTGACACTCCGATAGCACATCCCGCAGTTCACTGACAATCAGTTCCGAAAGGAAATTGTCCACCATGTTAGCTGATAAGTTGTTGGTGCTGGTGGACGTGCTGGTGGACGTGGACTTTGAGATTGTAGACGAAGCTTTAGGAACATGGTGAATATGCTTGATCTGAACACCAGAGTTGTTATTCCTTGAAGGAGGTTTTGGGATCTGGCCAGGTTGGTATTTAGCATGAACGACGTGGAAAGGCTTGAAGTGAGCGTGAAATTTTGTGGTGCGACAGGGATCTATCATGTCTCTGCCTGGGTCATAATATGCTGAGAACCTGAAAGGCGGCAATGTTGTAAAGTAGAAAGTTCTGATGCATTATGTAACTATCACTCAGCAACCACAGAAATCCAATTTAGATCTACAGTACGAATATATCGAAATAACAAACTTGAGCCTGGAGCTATCACGATGAATGTTGGCAAGTTCAGGAGATCCACACCCTGTTGTTCCCAGTACTGTGACATCCATTTTTTCAAGAATGTCTAGACTTTCTTCTATCTGTAAAACAAATACTCTTATTTTGCAAATTTACATATACATATTATCATACACATTACACATATTATGTATGCATGAGTTTGAGCATCGATTCGTAGAGAGCCCATCTTAAGGCCACAGGGGGGGGTCGAGGCTTCAAAAAATGCAAAAAAACATTATGCTTTGAATCAATATATATTTTTGTGGTGGATACTTTGCCACCACTCATATGTCTGTAGCTATTTTACTTTTTTTAATAAATGAGGTTAACCAATTCTCATTTAACCTCATTTTTTTGATAAATCGATAATGGAGGGCAGAAATATTGATGCCATTACAACTGAAAACTACGATAAGCTTTGTTTTTATTGTTTTTGTGTTATTTCAGCGGTTAAACTTTGAAAAATATACAAATAAAGGCAAAATACTCAAAAATCACATAACATAAAAAACAGTTTTTTGCCTCTCCTGAAAACCTCGAATTTTTGACTTCAAAATCTATCTTCTCCTAGAGTTTTTATCCATTTCACCTCAAATTTGGAACTTATGTTCCTGACATAAATTTAAAAGTTTGTTATGTAACGATTGTTGTAATTTTGCTCCTAACTCTTTTTATGAGGTTAACCATTTTAAATTTTGTTACCCGCACTCATGGTTAACCTCATATCTCAGCTTTGGAGCAAGATATCATAAATCGTTACATAACAAAAACTCAAAATACCTTTAAGAACACTGTTGCCAAGTTACAAGGTTCTAAGTCATAAACTGAAAAAGAAGATAGATTTTGAACACGATTTCATTTAAAGTTTTCATTTACAATAGAATTACAGGTAAACCTCAAAATTCAACGCGCGATATCTTCAAATAGGAAACTTTGTTTTCGGTAAGGACAAAAGCATTTGAAAATTTAGATCGAGCTCTACAACATATCTCAAAATCTCAAAATCGACCTCGGACCCCCCCCTGTGGCCTTAAACGGCTAAATAAAAAAACAAAACATTGCATTACCTTAGCATACTTTCGTGCAGTAGCGTTTCTCTTTCGGTCATATTTTCTTCTCTCTATGTCGGCCATCCTTCCTTCAGCAATTGTTTGCATGCAATGCATCTTAGCTCTCCAGTTGCTTGCTGCCTTGGCTCTGTTGTTTTCGACTTTCTTTTCCCATTCCTTAGCTTCGTCTAGATGAGTGTCCTCGATCCGTACGTGGTTATCAAAAACCATTTTCTGCTGTTCTGTGATTTTGAAATTACTAATATCGAGTCGGTGATACGATTTTTACGCTAAAAGTAAATCACTGCCAGACCAAACTGCTCGAACAAATTCAAGCATACATCAGTATGATTAGTTAAATCTAGGTAGTTCTTAATCGTCTGTATAAATGACGATTTTAAAAGAATGTAGAACTGATCTGGTTCATTATTTGTCATACCATTGACGGCGTTTTTATGCAATTCAGAGTCATATGTGCGAGCTGCAATCGATCGTTTTCGCCGAGTTTGTTTTTCATTAAGTTGATCCAAAAACTTGATCATTTCTTCATCTTTTGCATTCATCCGTTCTTTATGCCAAATGAGATTCTGAAAGCATACAAATTTAAGGTGAAATCAAATTCGGAATCTTTATCTAGAAGAGGGTTCCATATCATGGAATGATTTTTTTCAAAAATTCAAGCCGAAGTATTGAAGCACAATAAAACAACAAAAATTATTTTATGAAAATAGCTAATTTGTAAAATAAAATGAACCTGGTTGGTCAGTTTCTTCGATCGGCGCTGTCTTTTAAGGAGTTGTTTTTGGGCGACCATTCTCTCCTTTTGTCGTATCTTCTGAAGAATAGTACTACGGCGGATAAGTTCGCAGCTGTCAAGTCGTATTTTAATGAGCTCTCTCATTTTTCTTTCCATTTGGGCCTGTTTAGCAGCCTTGTCCCTTTCCAGGCGAGCTCTTTCTATCATCTGAAATATTTTACGTGATGATCATTGCATGCTATTAAACTTCTTGATGGCAAAAAATTTAAAGCAGGGCAATTTTATTCAATATTAATAAGTTATGGAACCTGTGTTTCTGAATTCTACAATTCTAATTTCTTGGAAAAGGGAAATGAAATGATAGATAATAAATGGTTTTACCACAAACGATTTACTTCAAATTTGTGCATCTTTGAATTCCGTGGGTATTGATCACTCTAAATTATGCTTACCTGAGCCATAAGTTTTTGCTTTAAAACAATATTATTTAGTATCTGTTTTCGTCGTCTCATCATCGACTCTGTACGCCTCGCTTTAGCTTCTGCAATCTTAACGTTATGCTGAAGAATAAAATTGAATTACATGATTCAAATTAGACTATAGGCATCTATGTATAATGTATATCGTAGTAAACGATGAAATATTTCGATTTACATCGTCGAACACAAGGTATCTGCAATGTACTTGTCATCATTTCTGACAAGTGACAAGAGCATCATTTTATTATTAAGTTCTGTAACACATTAACCTGTATCCGCGTTTGCAGCATCGCATTTTTTACTTTACGTCGCAACACTTTTCTTGGATCAACATAAAATTTCTTCTTTTCCAACGCACTTGATATGCGTCTTTGCGTTTTGAAATAGTGTTTGAGATTTCGCTGAAACAAATTTATTATACAATCACACAATTCAAAAAATTAGCATCGAAATTGAAGAATATCAATAATTTATTGACGTACTTTAGTTTCGATGGTTATGTAATTTTTATTGAATAATTGTCATAGAAAGTAATCAGTATGGCAGTATAGTATAGTATTATATAGTTTGTTTTTTTTTTTTTATCTAGACACTTATTTTACTTCGGTGTATTCCAACAGCCACAATGTTACACAAGTGCAACCAGCCAATTACAGGAAGCCGAAGGATCTTTTTGGCCAGTGACGGTTAAGGTAGTGTGTACCATACTTTCTTCGTCCGAGACTTTGCTGCAATGTGCAGCTCCTCATTTAACCCTCACACCCGATTTCTCGAGTATTCGGCTGAGTAGACCGGGGGGCTGCATAGACCACTCATGATCCTTAGCTGAACGTCGACGACGCTCACCCCACGACCAGGCAGTCAGTGGGTTTCGAACTCGCAACCTAACGATTGTAAGACAGGCGTTCTAACCAACTGCGCTACCTGGCCGCAAAAGTATAGTATGGGATTGACAAAATTTCACTAATCTATCAAAATTGAGACAGGTTAGAGTGGTAACGAGCAAAAATGTTGAATGCTGACCTGAAATCTGTTAAATTCTTGAAGAGTACATCTAACTTCACCATCTTTTGTCACAAGATTGTTTTTCATCAAGCATCTCCGAACTGACTTTTTGTTCAGAAAATGCTTCAAATGCGGGTCGTGTAAGGGTTTGTATTCTCCTGGCTTATACTCAGTGAAGAAAGGATCAGATAAGTCGAAATCCATGGTTATTCCAGGAACAAGCTGAAATTTGTCGGTTTACTTTGGCATGATTTCGTTGTCAAAATATGAGAATTTTGTTGAAAAATTTCTAAGTAAGCTATTTTGACAATAAATAATCCACCGCTCCATAGTATAGATACCTTTTCTCCAGATCGTGTAGTGTTATAACCAGCCTGAGCATGACGATGAATCGCGGTGGCCGGTAGAGCAGCATTTTCATTTTCGATGTAGTGTGAATAATCGACCGGTGGTTTAGCTTCCATAAATGATTTGAATTATAAACTTAAACGAGTAAAGCGGTGCAAATTTTGATAATATTCTTGACTACTTTTGTCGATGAATCGTTATGCTCCTTTATAAACACGGTCACATTCGTCAATTCTTTATTATCTTCCGCAACTGCTAACGAAATTGTGGACTAGAATAATTACGTCAAGTTTTCCCGACTATTTCCCTATGGACACTTTAGATCGCCTCTGAATCCACTGAAAGTTTTCTCATTTCATATCAAAATATGGTAGTACAACTCTTCAGTCTCAGCTTCACATAATATATAATAGCTGGCAAACACGTGTGCGCGTCTCAAAACTCTTGTAGGAGCGCACAGTGCCAAACGTTTTTATTGAACGCGCGTTGCACAAGGTGGATTAAAATCCAAAAATAGAAGCTGGGCCACCCACTATCACTTAACCAAGTTACGATATGCGACAGTCCGATCTGAAACGTTTCCTCGAAAATTTCGTAGATTAGTAGATAGGGTCTGAGAACGCTTGTCGCTTGTAAGTTGAGAGGCACCGAACCCAGGCTTTTATTTGATTTTACAGCAAGATTTTAATCTCTGCCACAATTTTCAACTACAGGTCATTTTGTCTCGTTTGGCCGTTTAGCCGTATGATCTAGGAATATCCCGTGTTGATATTATCCGTTCACGAACTCACAGGTAATGAATACTACTTTTACTATGTAAACTGATCTCATTTAGATTACAAAAAATATATGAGTTATTGAGCCATCTGTAGGGTTTGACATGAATGAGAATTTAAGAAACCATCCCTCCACTTTTATAAATGTTCGAGATTCCAAACACTGTTATAAGGATGACTTTTCAGTTTTCAGTTGTATATGGGGACAATATGAGACGATCTGTTATAATGATATAATATTACTAGTGTAACCCGTGCCTTCGGCCGGGAATTTACTGTCACAGTTGCAATGTAAAAGTATACAACCGCATTATATTAGACATTATATATTTGATATCACGCATAATGCTGTCTTATGAAAGTATGAAATCTCCCTACAGTTGAAACAAAGCGGCCGCAAGAGTGAGCTCTGCTATTACGTGGGGCTAAACTAATTACGGTACATGTTATCCTCCTCGTTCTCTCTCCCATCCATTTATGTCACATTTCTGGAACAAAATCATCAATTAAACCACTTACCACCGGCCGATTTTTATAAAATTGTCTTATGGGCTTCATCAGAGTTTTGTCGGCACTATACCGAAAAAACCAGTCCCGTAACTATTACCGTTTTTTTTGTATAACTGTTCGGAAATTACACACAGACACACAGACACACAGACACACAGACACACACACATTCTGGTGTTATTAAGTTGATTATCAGCACACTCGTGCCTGAAAGAAATGCCAGTCATATGTACAGTAGTGGATTGAGTAAAAAGCCCAAAGAAAGACATTTTGTGATAATTAGGCAACTGGTGTGATTTGGGGCTAATGAGTAGATTTAGGCGCATTTCTGGGACTACTTCTAAATCCTCTACAGTGAAAAGCAAGTCGAAATACGTTCTTTTGCCGATTTGATCGAGTTTCCCGCAATTTTAATTTTGATCCGAGCAAACCATAAAATTTTTTTAAAGTTGCGTCCACTACTTTAAATTATTTGGAAAAAAACTATCTTTGTTCGGACGTTGAAGCCGACCTAAGTCGAGTAAGTAGACTACTTTATTTCCTTGTGGGTGTTCTATTAACTCTTATATTTTGATTGATGCTGGCCGAGAAAGCAATTAAATCTCGTAACAGAATTAAAGGCGACTCCTCTATCAAGCAATCCAATCCTAGGCCAGCTATGGGAACATTTGTGACTTAATATTAGTTTGATCCTTCACGTGGCACTGTGGTAACTAATTAGTACTCTTAGTAAAACCATTAACACAATCCGACCGGTAAATAGATCCGGGCAACTTGACTATTTCCCTCTTTGTGAGTCACGTGATTTTCACGTGTAATTAACGTACTGAGCACCTGACACCCTGGTTTGCTCGGCGATCAGCACGTGCTCTTACAAGCATGTCACGTGACTCTAAAACCCAACAAATCCATCCTCTAATCATTCTAATTATTGGCTTGTCAAGGGAGATGAATACGATAATCTAATTGGGCGATTACTAAAATCCCTGGATGTCCATTGGTCCAAATATCTACTCCCGCATTGGAAGGATTTGAGTGCTCTGTAATTATTTGGCACTTTGAACTGTTTTACAACATTTTATCAATACCCTGCCGCCAGGAAATCCAAAAATACATTCCTTCACAATACACCCCTATTCGATCATTTATAGCAGCACCGTCCGAGAAAGCAAACAACAAATTTAACATTTAATAACCTACAAGAAGAGAACACTGACTGCCCGAAAACCTAGTGTTTTAATGCAATTTAGGCTGTTATATAGAGGCCTTGAAATATAAACTCAGGAATTTTAATTGTTATGTTTTCAGTGTAAGAGTGCGAGAAACTAGGCAGACGATGCTTGGCCCTACATTTCATTACCAGAAGCTACCTTCCCTTTATTATAAGGTCCGGGTTCAATGAGATTATTACCTTTATGTTTTATGGTGAAATAATTTCAACTATCCAATATAGGTATATATACTATATTTAACTCTATAAATGAAGTTGGTGTTGACACGACTCCCCGATACAGGTTATGACCATTATGCTGAGGTTAATCAGAACAATGCAGTCTGTAAATAATAAAAGATTGGATACACACATTGAATTATGAATAGAATCATAAAGTTTACATACAGCTACAGGTAACGTTTACTCATATTAAAACTTGGTGAATCTAATCGCCAACATCAACCACCGTCACAACAATAGGTTGTCAGGTGAACTGATGCAATCTTAACCTCCCAGCATGATGTAATCAAGCAACAAACCCACCCGCTTTTTGAATGCTCATTACAAACGAATTGAGGGAACTTCTTTAAATTTTACAACAATGGCTGAACGGCTGACACATGGTATAACACTATATGGACCAATCATGTGATCACACCGTCATAGATATCAGGTGATAGATAAAACAGATCTGGTGAGTGGTGCCAACTTATGCTTTCGTCTGATATCCTGAACCAGCGTTTATAACAATAAAAACCGGCAATTATAGTCGCACCGTGTACACAGATACTCATGAAGTACAGCTACTTTATGCCGGAAGTTGATGACGCATCCGGTGCAGGTGGTGCTATATCACAACAATCTCAGCGCACCGGTTGAAACACGGATTGTGATTCCTGAGAAAGGGAACATAGAGACTTGACGGAGTTTCCACCCATCTTACTTAGATCAATATAATAGAGGTTATGTGTGATGACTTGTAACGAGTAAAAACATACTCTTAGTAGCTGTAAGAAAAGTAGGGGTCGTGACTGGAAATAGGTAAACAGGAAGTGCTCAGCTCTATATTCGGATATGTATCAAGTTGATGATTGTTGATACTAACACAGATTTATATAAACCTAGTGTTGATAATAATGGTCTTTGATAACAGCTACCAATGACTAACGATTAAATGGCCAAAATAATAGGTTATCACCGATTTTTTTAAACATTCCTTAATGACAGCTTCCTCATTAAAGGTTATTCTGCTCAAATCAAGATTCCACGAAACTGTGGTTGCTGTTCTAAAACAACTGGATGTTCAACTCCCCGGCCTTTGATCGCAAGAGCCCTCTATACTTTTACGGTTTACACATTTACACTGCATAAGCACACTACGTATAGTAAAACCACGCACGAACCAACAGGTGAGCAGTAGTCGGGTCACGTGGTCGAGCCTGACCAGTTGTACTGCAGATTTTGGGTCAAGTGGGTAGTGTAGCCAAATACTTGCGTGGTTGTGAAAAGTGGGATCGTAAAGTGCAAAACTAGAAATTTGGGCAGGCTAACTTTAAAGTTTAGAGTACTTTGACATGCCAATGTTCATTACTATCGCTGAAAAACTACTGGCAATTCACTGGGATATTTTATAGCAATAGATATCTTTAAATGGGTATAGCTATTTATAATAACTAATAGAACAAACGAAAATGTACGTTAAATCAAGGTACCGAGCCTTTTATTAAATATTCTAACAAAGATTCAGAACCTTGATGTTGTCCTTTACCCAATGTTCCAATGCCCGAATGAATAAATTTAAAATAATTTGCCAATACAGAATTGACATTTATATGACGTAATTAACATCATTTTAAATACAGGGTGGGCCAAAAGTCAGTACCCATATGTTGGCCTTAATAGCTCTGCCGTGTTTTATATTTGAGAGCTGTTGCTTTGCAGATGGCATACTGTACTTACTGGTTCGAGGATTCCGTCGTCAAAATTTGAAAATTCGAATATTTTAGACCACGCCCATTCAATATTAAAACACCTATATTGTTTTCTCTGAACATGCTGAACGCCTAATTTTTTCAGAGACGGTAGATTATCAAATGTTGCATATGATCTGAAAACATGAGGCAAAACAGATTAGAAATGACGAAGTTATCAAGCATTTTCTGTATCTCGTTAACAATATTGACTGGGTGATTATGTGACACCGTGACACGACACCTTAATTGGGCACCCTTAACAATTCCCATAATGTTTAACGGGGTAGTTAACGGGGGCACCTTATCACGTGATTAGGTAAACCAATCACCTGATCACACGTAATGAATAAACTCGTTATGCTTCATATCTCGGTCATCTGAGAAGCTACAGTTCTAATTCTTTCAGGACAAACGTAATTCGAATGGCCAAACACAATTCAATAACATTTAGCTTGATCCGACTATCCAAACTATCAAATAAATGTGAAAATGAACCTCCATTTGAAAAAAATGAACGCGAATATTTTTCGAGTTGACAAATTCCTCGAACCAGTGGTGGTACTAAGTCATACCAGAAAGAAGTATTTAAATTGGGCAATCAGTGACTGAGCTATAAAGGCCAACGTATGGGTACTGACTTTTGGCCCACCCTGTAGTATAACTCAAAGCCGAATAACATGTTAACCTTTCACAGTAATAATTTT